AGAGAATCATTGATTGGCTGCCTCCTGCACGCCCCCTACTGGGGATCAAGCCCACAACCCAGGCATGTGCCCTTGGCTGGCATCAAACCTGGGACCCTTCAGTCTGCAGGCCGACGCTCTATCCACTGAGCCAAACCAACCAGGCAAAAACAGTGACTTTTAACATGGGGATTTTTCCCAGCCATTTTCTATGCCAGTACAAAATTTTTAATATATAAATTTATTTACATACACACATCTGTTGTGGAGTGAGGCCACAACATTAGTAACAAAGAAACAGAATTTCCGGAGGATGAGGCCCAGAAATCAGGATTTTAAAAAGATTCCCAGGTGATTCTAATGTGCAGCCAAGGTTGAGAACCACTGCTATAGACAGTTGGAATGCTTATTGGGGTACATTTTTGCTTTATTTTTTAGTAAACTTTTTCTTTAAGTGTAATATGCATTCAGAACAGGGCACGATTCATAAGTGCACAGTTCAAGGCATTTTCACAAAGTGATATGCCTGCAAAACTCGAACCCAAGTCAAGAACAGATCATTATTGCCCAGCTGGTGTGGTTCAGTAGTTGAACGTCAACTTATGAGCCAGGAGGTCATGCATGGTTCAATTCCTGGTCAAGACACATGCCCGAGTTGCAGCAGAGTCAATCCCCAGTTGGGGGTGCGGGAGGCAGCCAATCAATGATTCTCTCATCATTGACATTTCTATCTCTCTCTTCCTCTCCCTTCCTTTCTGAAATCAATAAAAAAAAAAAAAAAGTATGTATTTTAAAGAGAACAGATCATTACCAGCAAGCCCAGAGTCCCGCTTCTTCCCCCTTCCAGCTCCCTACTGAGTTAACAGGATCCTGACTTCTACCAGCTTAGGTTAGTGTGAGTTTTTTGTGAACTTTATAATGACAGAATTACATAATACGTACAGTTTTGTTCAACATTCTTTATGAGATTCATCTATGTTGTTGCATGTGGCAATATTTACTCATTCTCATTGTTTTATAGTATTCACTATGTGACCACAGGACGATTTATTTGTTCCACTGATGGATGTTGGGGTT